CAGGCTTACATCTTTGTCTTACATCTTCCTCATCTTTCAGGATGTAGAGAAAGGCACATATACTCACACTTCCCAAGATTATGTCAAAGACAATAATCACTTAGATGATTTTCTCCTCATTTGAATGGACAGCTTCAGAAATGTTCTCTATTGCTACAAAACAATTATAATTGAGCAAAACTGAACTATTCAAAATAGCCAAAAGAAGTAATGAGTAAATTAAACTGCATTTGGTCCCTGTAGGTAAAGAGAATGCACTTGGTGCTTGTTTGGAAGGGGATGAAGGAGCAGAAAAAAATGGGCAGGCACAAATATTGCGCTGCATTTGTCAGAAGCACAGGCTTTTGCAAATGCTCAAGTTGGATCCAAATATGAAATCTGTAGTTTAAATGAAGAGTAGATTCTGTGAATGTTTTCTTTAATCATAACTCGTCTATTCTCTTCTTTTTTCTAATCCTAAAGAAAGGAGGAGGATTAAGATGCTTTTGCTGAACAGAATCAGCTGTGGCTTGATCTATCATCAAATACATCCCAGCAACGGGAAAAACATCTTACTTGATTGATGAGAATAATAATGTACCACTCTCTTGGAGAAAATAAACGTCTACTGAAATTGGATAATGACCTATCCTACTATCTCACTGCAGAGTCATGCTGAAGTAGTAATTGGAATAACACCTTGTAATTAAAATGTGTATCTAGTTTAAGAAGAATAATAGTAATTGTTTCTTTTACTTCCTTCAAATTTCAACTTTAATTTCACCTCCTCCATGAAACATTCTGTGATTTTCCTGATACTGAATGTGAATTTTTCTTCATGTAAATGCCACACTACATTGATGATGCCAATGTTATCATTGTTGTTTATCCATTTATCAGCTGATGGACAGTAAGGGTGTGCTCACTGTTCGGCTATTATGCATAATGCTACTATGAACATTCATGCGCAAGTTTTTACAGATATATGTTTTCAATTCTCTTGGGTATGCCCCTAGGAGTGGATGTGCAACTGTGGTAGACAGAAGAACAGGTCCACCAGATATGTTTACATCCTAATCCCCTAATCTGTGAATACTTTAGGGTAAATGGAAAAGGAGAATGACAGTTGCCAATGAAAGTAAGATTGCTAATAATTTCACCTGAAGATAGGGAGATTATCCTAGATTACCCAAGTGAGCCCAATATAATCACAAGTGTCCATAAAAGTGGAAGAAGGAGGCAGAAGAGGCTGAAGTGATTCCTTATGAAAAGGACTCAACCTAGCACTGCTTGCTTTGAAAATGGGGGATGTGGGGAGGATGGGCAGGAGCTTCTAGAAGATGGAAAAGCCAAGGAAACGGATTCTCCCCCAGAGCCCCTGTAAGACGTGCAGAACTTACTCACTTAGATTTTGACCGAGAGTTGTATGAGACTTGAGAACAGTAGGATAATAATGTTGTATTCATAAAACCACTAAGTTTGTGGTGATTTATTGCAGCAGCAATAGGAACTAAGACACAGGTCATATAGTAACTCTATGTTTAACTTTTAAGGAATTGCTAAACTTTTTTCAAAGCAGCTGCACCATTTTGCATTCCCCCAACAACCAATGAGAGTTCAAATTTCTCCACATCCTCACCAACACTCATTATTGTTTGTCTTTTTGAATATAGCTATCCTCCTGGGTATGAAGTGGTATCTCATTGTCATTTTGATTTTTTTTTTCTTACATGGTCCTAGCAGGGGTTGGGGGAGGGAGTTTGTACTTTTTTCTCTTATACACCAGAACCAAGTATTTTCTAGGAAGTAAAAAAAAGGTACTTCTGAAGATAAATAACAATTTTAAAAAATAAAAGTAAGTTTTTTATAGAAATATTGAAAAATATTTAAACAATCTGCAAAATTTGTCATCAACAGTAGACTTTACTGAACACCTGTTTCTGCAGGAAATCTCCCTGTAGGAGATTGATTGTATTACTGGCCCCATTTCTTTAACTCTCCCAGGATTCATACCTTTTTATGTAACTTTTCAGTGTGTATCTTGGTTTCCGTGTAACTTGCCAACACAACGTGGCAGCAGAGACAGCAGGTCATCCCAACCCCAGGACTCAAGAGACTTTGTGTGGGTCTGTGTGCTCTCTTGTCCCTTTGAGGACACATCTTCTGGAAGATGAGAAACATGTGTATTTAGGCATGTGCTTTAAAACTTTCTGAGGTTTTTTAACAAATTTCCCAAATTTAAATTGTAACTAAACTGAGGAATATTATAGTGTGTGACTCTTGTTTGAAACACTGCTGGTTCTCTAATGTTTGCTCTTCCAGATTAAGGAAACTTTCTCTTAAAATATCCATGGTATGCAGAAATGTGATAAAGTATTCATTTGTGAACAAATTGGAGCATTTAACTTTTCTCTCTACCTGAACTCTCTGACATTCAAAAGGTCTCAGTAAGTAGTCTTTTTTCCATGGTAATCCTAGTCATTTGCATAAACTCAGTAAGAATCCGTTCTTCTTGAAACAGGACAACATTGGAAGCATTGATTATTTTACCGAGGCTTTGACTGGCATGTCATATTTGAGAGACATACATAGACTCAGATATGACCAAACAGCTTAAAGGAATTAAGGTTGACTTTATGAAACCTGGAGCCATAAAGCCCCTTGGAACTGTTGGCCTGATACCTTGCTTACAGAGTTCCAGCAGCCTCACCAGGTGAGTAAAGAATGTTACTTCCTGGCAGGTGCCGGAACCTCAGGATGCTTTGGGGACCTCAGGAAGAGGAATTTCCCCAAAGCTACAGGTATTGCAGGCATGTCTGATGGCAAGTATTTGGCTTGGCTTCTGGCCTAGAGAGGTTAATAAAATTTCAATCCAAATTCCTTATAAAAGTTTCCAGCAAAGCAGATTTTAAAAGATCTATATGATCAATCACTATTCTTGCTGAGCTTATGAAAATAATTAGACCAAGTTTGTTAAAATTGGACTTGTTTTACAAATGAATTAGTCTTGATTTGGTTATCTCTGGAAATGAAGGTAATTTTAGAGAAAAATTCTGTTTCAATAACACATCTTTATAAATATTAAATTTTAATACTATTTCTTATAAATCAGATTAGATCCTGAATTTTTCTGGTTTCCTCAAATATCCAACTAAGGTTTCCAATCGTCTCCCATTCTCTTGACTTAAAGTCATTAAAAACTAAAACTGTCTTTTTCCTAAAAGCCCTAAAACTGATGATGGACAACTTGAGGTAAAACTTGAGAGAAATTGCCACAACAGTTCATGTACAGACAATGTTCTTGCTTGTTAATCTGTGGGGATAATAATAGGACTCCATGGGCATATGATTATTTGAACAACTGAAATATGGGATTGATTCCCCAACAATCGTGTAACTCAGCTATCATCTTGACCAATTCTGTGTGGCTGGGATGACAAAATCGTTCCTTAAAAGCCACTCCATGGGGTTAACTATGGACTTGTGGAGATAACGGATGACCCCACTTTCCTTATGATTGGACTGGATGATGCACTCGGGATGCTTTTATCTCCTGAGACAAGTCTTCTCCCACTTGCCAGCTTTAATACAATCACCTTTTTGCACCAAAGACATCTCAAGAATTATTTCTTGGCCGTGGGCTCAGGCCCCCAATGCTGCTCAAAACTATATCACTTGGCGAGGCCATACTTACCTGTTTGTCTTTATGCCTTGTGATTTCTTTTCTTTTTTTTTTTTTTTTTGAAACTGGACATTTGAATATTATAATGGCATTCTGGACATCATATTCTCCTTCTTTTCCATGGTTTGCTGTCCTACGGATTGTTGAGAGCTGTAATAATCCATTCTTCAGTGACTTTTCTCAACTATCTTTGTAGAGACTTTATTCCTTGATGTGTATAGTCACTGAAGATTGTTCATCACCTTACATTCGGCTAGTGAGCTTGTGCTTTGGTGTTTTGACAGAGATTTCCTTGAATGCCAGGAGAATAAGAGAAAGAGAACAAAACCTTCTCTGAGTCTTGGCAGACTGTCTCTGTGGTGGGCACTCCTTCAACATTGAGCCAGGCTTGCACTTTGCTGAGGGATCAACAGGCTTGGGGTCTGAGAGTGTAGGGGCTCCTTGGATGTTTTCCAAGCAGCCTTGTTTTTCCACTGCATATGCGTGTGGCTTTCTAAATTCCTCAGTATATAGAAGGGCTTTGAAATCCCCTAATTTCCCTAAGAACCTCTTCCAGGCTTTCCTTCTCCGGTTTTAGGATGGCTGTTGCACTTTTCATGGACAATCTTCGGCCCCAGGCGGTTGTTATGTTGCTCCCTCACATTCCGATGCTTCCACAACACCCACCACGTTTCCAGCCTGGACGAGTTCCAAGCTAATGAAACAGAAACAAGTGCCATGTGTCAGAACTCCAGGCCCCTTGGACGGATTAGAGCACAAGTACCCATAGTTTGTGACCAGGGCCTGCTCTGCTCCTTCTAGAATCTGAGGCCAGGGTCCCACACTGGATTTGTGGGCTGCCCACCTTCAGCCCTGCCCCTAGCTGGGGAGGGGCAGGGCAGGGGCATGTGGAAACACCCCAGAACTGTCCTACCATTTTTTTTTTTAAGATTTTATTTATTTGACAGAGAGAGACAGCGAGAGAGGGAACACAAGCGGGGGAGTGGGAGAGGGAGAAGCAGGCTTCCCGCGGAGCAGGGAGCCCGATGCAGGGCTCGATCCCAGGACCCTGGGATCACGACCTGAGCAGAAGGCAGATGCATAACGACTGAGCCACCCAGGTGCCCCCTGTCCTACCATTTTGAAGTTGCCTGTTCCTTAACCCAGCGTTAATTAGCTCGGTTGCCATAAACTGTTTTTCAGAGTTCTGACAAAGTTGGCTCTGACAGTTTCTGGTTGTTTTTCAGTGTTTTTCTGTTGGTGGACAGGAAACAGGAGGTGCCTTCTCTGTCTTTTTCTGATGTCCCTCTGAAACCTTTGGGTTTTTTTGAAAAGTAAAATTTTAGGCCCAAATCATATTTTTTTTTAAAGATTTTATTTATTTGACAGAGAGAGAGACACAATGAGAGAGGGAACACAAGCAGGGGGAGCGGGAGAGGGAGAAGCAGGCTCCCGGCTGAGCAGGGAGCCTGATGCGGGGTTTTGATCCCAGGGCCCTAGGATCATGACCTGAGCCGAAGGCAAGCACTTAACGGCTGAGCCACCCAGGAGCCCCAGCAAATCATATTTTCGTATGGTAAAAAAAAGATCTGTGAAGTAGTCTATTTCCAGGGATATTGAAAATGAAATAACTTCACATTTTCCACCCCTGTAACCTCAGAATTTTACAATATTGACATACTTTAAAAATTCAAACTCTGTTTCTATTACCCTTGTGTATTGGCCTTAAAAAGGGAATCATTTATCAAAAGTATCTTATTATAAAAATTGAGACAAAAGTATGAAATTCTAACAAATATGTGATGATAAACATGTTCTTGTATGAACTGGCATATGAACCCAATGTCAACCCGAGTCCTGAGAAGCAAAAACCCTCCACCTCCACATCTGCCCTCAGGAAAATGTCTTTACTGTAATATATACAGAGTATTACATGAGTTATGCTCAGCACTGAGTTTTAAGATAGAATTTTGATGCCCATGTTAATACATTTGAGAACAAAATGGCTTTTGAATTACCAACATTTTGCCATCATGGGCCCAGGGTCCTGGTCTAATAATAGATATTGCAGAATATTTTATCTTATTCTGGCTGCTGTCCTCCCTTTCTGAGATTAGACAGAGACCCTCTGAGGAGAGAGAGGACAAGGAGACCAGGACGGGCCGCCTGGAAATCAGACTGTGACAACGTCTCCACGAAGAGCTGCACCCTGCCCTCTCTCGCTGCATCCTGGGCAGGGGTGCAGGATGACCCCAGACGGGCTTGAGGACCTGAGAGTGGGGATGACCTGTCCCCGCTCCCCAAACCCAGGTGCAGGAGCTGGAGCTGCACTGGGCCTCCTCGTTGGCTGAAAGATGGGAGACTGGACCGAGTAGCATGCGCAGGTTTCCATTTGTCTTCACCAGACAACAGCATATATTTTGAACACCTTCAAGAACTGAGAAAGAACAAGAGGGAGAGAGGGAGAGAGAGAGATGCTATCTGAAAGCAGGGACACAACAAGAGGGACCACAGGGGGAGTGACCTAGACCGTACAGGGTGAGGACCAGGTTGGACACTGTGGACGCTGGGACAGATGTCACCGCAGACAAACCTGACACATTAGCAACGTAGATGCTGCCCCAGCTACCATGAGTGAGAACAAAGGGACAATCACTAGCTGGGTTTAAATGTCACTAAACAAAATCTAGTGCACGTACACCAAAATTACGCTGTCTGGCATCAGGCAAAAGAGGCACCTCCTAGCATTTAAGGTGACAGAAAAAAAAAAATACTTCTTTTGCACACCTGGGCACATGCTTTATAAAATTAAAACATTTCTGAACCGGAAGAAATCTTAAAAGTTGTCTAGGGACGCCTGGGTGGCTCAGTCAGTTAAGCGTCTGCCTTCAGCTCAGGTCATGATCCCAGGGTGCTGGGATCGAGTCCCGCATCGGGCTCCCTGCTGCGCAGGGAGCCTGCTTCTCCCTCTGCCTCTGCCTCTCTCTCTCTCTCTCTATCTCTCATGAATAAATAAATAAAATCTTAAAAAAAAAAAAGTTGTCTACTCCAACCTTGTCAGGTAGCCAATAAAAGAGCAAAAGCCTGGCGAGGTAAGGAGACGTGCACATACTGCGGCTCGAGTTAGCGGTACGGGCAGACCCAGGACCCAGGGTCCTGTCTTGCACTTTAGACTTCTTTCCTCTGCATCACACAAAAGGCTGTATTTGTGTGAATGCAATACAATCATCGTTTCAAAATAGGGGCAGCTCCATGTGAACTGTGAAGATACTCACACAGGCTTAACAGGTAGGCACGTTTGGCATGCCAGCTTATTATTCTTGCTTTCAGTGACTATTAAAAATATGCCCTCTGGGTGTTAGAAGTAATTTCTGCTTCTGGGCTTGCTAGAGGCAAGGAAAAGGACACTTTATTATCATCACAACTCAAAACAGTAGTTAAAGCCACTTTTGAATATTTTATCACCAACCTGTCTACTACATACTTTTAAATTAGTTAGGAAATCAATCTAGAGTAAATCTGACTTAAATCTGAAATGACAAATGTAGTTTGCAAAACTGCAAACTGCAACTAGAAGGAAATTATACCAGATATTTTCCCAGACGGTTTTAAAGATGTTTTGTTTTTTGATATAAATGCTTTGATATATGCCATTTCAAAGTCTTATTATTAGACTGATTGTTCCAGGTAAGAGTGAATAAAACCCTTTGTGTCCTTCTGATTATTTGTTACAATTGTGTTTCCTTTGTCAACAAAGCAGAAGTACAAGCAAGTGCAAAATCTTACAAATTTTGTTCATTTTTTTGTATTTTATGTCATACAAATTTTGATAAGTTTTCTGATCTAATGACCTTCATTTCCTAACATCAAATCTGACATTTTTCCTATTTTTTTAAAGGTTTTATTTATTTATTTGACAGAGAGAAACACAGTGAGAGAGGGAACACAAGCAGGGGGAGTGGGAGAGGGAGAAGCAGGCTTCCCGCTGAGCAGGGAGCCCGATGTGGGGCTCGATCCCAGGACCCCGGATCATGACCTGAGCCGAAGGGAGACGCTTAACGACTGAGCCACCCAGGCGCCCCACATTTTTCCTATTTTTAAGCTTCACATGTTTCACTTGTGGCCCATTTTAAGCCATTTTTCCTAAAATTAATAAATGGATATTTTGTCTTCTGTAGTCATTTTCACTTAATTTAATTCTCTTTGGGGTATTTCTAGATGTCACCTATTTATTCTACTAATCACAGGAACCATAAATAACAGTGAACAGAAATAAGCATATGCAAATAATTTTTATACCCATCAGTACATTTGATATTCAAAACAATTTAGTGAGGTAGAAATCATTTTTAAAAATAAGGATAACAATGGGTTAGCCTGGTGGTGGGTATTGAGGAGGGCACATTCTGCATGGAGCACTGGGTGTTATGCACAAACAATGAACGTGGAACACTTCATCTAAAACTAATGATGTAATGTATGGGGATTAACATAAGAATTAAAAAAAAAAAGAAAAGAAATAAAAATAAGGATAACAGTAGTAACAATAGAGTGCTATTGGTAGGCAAGTTTACTTATCACTCTCAATGAAAGATGAATTTTTTTAAAAAGCTCAGGGAGTTTAAATTGCCAAGGTCAAATAGCTGGCATTCCATATATATTTCAACTCAAATGTTAACAGAGTATTATTTTAGAATAAAGCCATTTCAGCATAAACTTAAGAAAAACACTTAACAAATGTAAAGTGATAATAAAAAAATGTAATGTGACATTATTCAATCACGAATAAAGAGAAAAAAACAGGGTTAGCCAAATTGCCAGAAAGATGTGTCTCCACTTCTCTGACTCCTGCTGAGAGGCCACCACAGGCCTCAGAGAGAAATTAGATGCACTGTGCCGTCCCCATATGTTCTCCTGAGAGCAACATGGTGACAGGAGATGCTGATGAGAAAAATGAAGTCAATAATATCAGGAGTTAAACCTGTCCTGGGTGTGGTGTTCTAAAACAGACAGATATGTGCTTGTATATAGACAGCTGCTAAAGCCCAGTGGTTAGACTTGAGCATATTTAACTTTTCTACATATCTACTTTGAAAGAAGCGTGTATCAGGATTCTGCTTTTGGGTAAGATGCAGCAGGGTGCAGAACACAAATTCACAATACAAATAAATCTTATTTTATTTTATTATTATGTTATGTTAATCCCCATACATTACATCATTAGTTTTTGATGTAGTGTTCCATGTTTCATTGTTTGTGCATAACACCCAGTGCTCCATACAGAATGTGCCCTCTTTAATACCCACCACCAGGCCAACCCATCCTCCCACCCCCCTCCCCTCTAGAACCCTCAGTTTGTTTCTCAGAGTCCATCGTCTCTCATGGTTCGTCTCCCCCTCCGATTTCCCCCCCTTCATTCTTCCCCTCCTGCTATCTTCTTCTTTTTTTTTTTAACACATAATGTATTCAAATAAATCTTATTTTAAAGACACCAGAGCACTGTACATGCAACAGGGACCAATGCACTGCAGTCAAGAAAGGAAAGAACCCTTCCAGGCACTTCCTCTCACCTTCCCTCCTTTATCTTAGTCATAAGATTTATCATTGCCCACATTACACAGGGTGGCCACTTACCTGAAACCCTTAAATCCAAATATCTTTGTGAATTCAGATGTTTTCTATGTTTAGAAAAGCAACACAGTGGATATATTCTACTTCCATTATGCTCCTCATAGGACCTGGGGTGGCGACCCCAGATGAAGCACATTAGTAGTTCTGTAACAGAGATATAAATATTGACTGGAATTGTGATGAACAAAGGTTATAAAGAGTCTTTTGTTAATTCAAGCCAGGAGAGGCCAGATGAGTTACGACAAAACTTTTGGTTTTTTATTTCAGAATTGTGCCATACAGAGTGTAGAGATTTATGATATTTTTATTGTTGTCAGAGAGCATAGAGATATATGATATTTTTGTCATTGTCAGTAATTGCCTATATGCCCCACTAAAATGCAGGTCCTGTGGGGGCAGGGACACTTCGAATGGGACAGTACATGACTCCTAAGGAGCTCTCAATAAATGAATGAATGATGCTTTGCAAAAGAAATGCCCAGGAAACAAACAAAAAAGGAGCTGCTTTGTCGACCACAAAACAAATCTGAGTGCTTTTTATTTCTTCATCAGTCTTGAGTCACGAGTAACAAGACTTCAGCTCAACACATTTGGGTGTCTCGAAAAGTTACAGTCCTTGTATATATTGAGACAAGAACAACTGCAAAAGTTTAATGTAGATGGAGCCCAGAGAATCATTGATAACGTAGCATTTCTAACATTTCCTACTTGAAAGGGGGGAAGTAATTTTGCTCATGAAGATGATCTCCATAAGAGCTCTTCACTTAAAAAGCACCATTTCTTCCTGGGGAATGACAGCTTATAAACAAAATACTATGAACTGTTTGTGTAGTAAAAATGCAAGGAACAGGGATCATCCCAATACACAAATATATACTAACAGCGCATTTAGCAAGAGAAAACAGGAAGAATATAAGATTTACATTGTATCCATTTAAAAGACATTTCTTCATACAAAATATCTCAGCTTTTCATGCTACTGCAATCTTTGTGTTAAATTAGATCTTGAGAGGTCACGTAGAATTTATGCCTAAATCACATGGGGATGGAAAGTGGAAAAGCTATCTAGGAGTCAATTATTAAAATAAACATAAATGAGCACAATTTATAAAAATGCACCAATCAGCTAGTCTTCATCTTACCTTATGGTATGTCTGAGAGTGTATAAAGTCTGTTGCCAAGATACACAAATGCAGATAACACCCTTGACATTGTTCCTGAGCTCACAGGATGTGTTTTTCTTTCCTTAAGCAGCAAAAACAATACAAGAATGTCAGTTAGAGGCATGAGAGCACATTCTTCTGATAATAAGAACTGAGACAGAAAAAGCACCAGTCTGAGCTGGTAAAGAAGGGTGGGGCTTGAACAGAACCTTCACTGCTGTTTAGAGTGTGGGTGAGTGGGAGCCACAGGGAAGGAAGTTTCCTGATGAAGGAAAAGCATATGCAAATCTACCACAGGGGAACCAAGCATGACAGAGGCAATGGCTTAAGCTGAAAGCAGCGCTCAGCTTTGGTTTCTGGTGTGGCCACTGTAGGAGGGACATGGCCAGGGATTAAGCATTTACGTCTCCTAGATCCTTCCCAGGGATTGTCACAGTACTTAACAACCTTGCTGGAGAAGTAGCTTGTAACTGAACAACTAAATTGTATATTCTGTTTGCCAACACAGACTTCTTCTGACCACACTGGTTTGGGGGAGGATCGGTAGGGGAAAAAATGCAGGATAGCTCTGAAACATGATTTAAATAGCATCATCCCCATGTAAAACGCACCTGATCCTGTCCACATTTGCAAATATCACCAGTGTTTGTGAGCATATCCGCAATGCTTTATACTGCTCTACACATCACGCTGCTTATAAAACCTGAGCAGAAAGCATGTGATGGGAAGGTGGTAAGGCAGTGTAGCCATCAGGAATGTGGCCTTTGGAATTTGACCAGTCCCAGAACAGCACTCACTGAATTAGTAATCATAAGCAAATGACCTAATTTGTCAAAACCTTAACGTATCTTACATGACAGTTATAGATAAAGCCAGAAAAGCATTCAGGACAGAGTTTGAGTTCAGTGTGTGTCAGCTGTTGGTATTATCACGTAATTGGCTCTACTGCCGAGTATTGTTCAAGAAATGGTTGGTGACAATTTTTAAATATTTTAAATTTCATTAGCAACATTAAAATATGACTAATAGAACTGTAATCACCTTGTCATTTTAATAATTTATACAGTCTTACATAATCTTCTGCTTCACAACAAAACCTACTGTTAAATGTCACATTTGTTATCCTACTACGCAGGGAGGAATTCATCCTCTGAGCTCCTCATCTTAGAGCTTGTTGCATGAGGTTGTCTATGCACAGAGCAGCTCGTTCACAAAACAGCCTTTGCAGATCAGCACACCTGCCCCAGTGACCTCAATGCCCATGACAGACCTTGGGGATGGTGGTCATTTTGTAGGAAATGGGTAGATTGAAGAAATAGGAGGTAATGAAGGTTGCTGCAAAGACTCATCTCATATTGCATCCACTGAAACTGCTTAATGCCAAGTCTGGATGTTTCTCTGTTAGTAAACATTTCCATTTTTCTGAGGAATTTGGATATTGGCTTCACTTTGACCTTTATAGGAGAAAAGTATAGAGCTTTCAGGACTTGACAACATGGCAACTTCAACACAGATTTCTTAGAATCCTCATTTTGACACCATAATATGTAGGACATGTCTCGCCCAGTGTGAAGGAAACATTTTTCAGATAGATGACAGTTTCAGCTGCCGGGAACAAAGTATGTTTCACCCTATCAGCAGCATGCCTCTCCTGCTCCTGGGTGCTCTGAAGGGAATATGTATGTCATGCATCCCATATTTTGTGGGAAAATCCCAACCACACACACCATGCCTTCTGACAATAAATCCATCAGTTCTCATGTGCTATAGCACTAAATAGACAGAAATGAGATTTTCATTATAAGATAGCAAAATCACATTATTTTCTATTCTCTAATATTAACCCACAAGTCTGCCTCAAGAAGTTTGCAAGAATTTCTGCTCACAGTTGTGAAGTGGGATTTATGTATGTGGAATTCTCGATTTCTATAACCTTTAATTATTGTTAAATAGGCTGAGAATAAACCAAAATTATTATTTATAGACTCTCCTCAGTATGTACCCAATGCAGTTACCTTCTATGTAACTTGACTACTGCAAACTGTTGCAAGATTTCCCCTTAGTTAACCTTGACTCTATTGGCATCATCTGCAAAAAAACAAAAACAAAAACAAAACAAAAAACAAACAAAAAAACTAGCAACTAATTACAGGCATTAATATATTTTCTTATTGGATTTATACTGTTAATCCCTTTCCAAAGAAGGCTCTGAGGTAGCCTTTAAACAATTCCTTTCAATCAATAGAACAGCTTCATCTGATTTTTTTCTTAGACCTTCACAACAGCCCTATGAATGTATCTGTTATTATTGTGAGAAATTTGTAATTGAAAAAACTGTCAGAGTGGTCAGGTGACTGGTCCAAGACAATATGGCCTCCAAATTCCATAGCCAGAGCTCCAGTCAGGATTCGCTTAATCCGGATGCTCTACTGGATGCTTTCCACTCCACCATACTCCTGCACATAGGCAATAGTGGAGATTTGTAAAAGATATAGAATAGGTTTTTCCCATGTAATTAAGCTTGAGTCCATCAGCGGGCACTCAGAATTACCAAGAATTTAAGAGCATGCTAAATTTATAGTCATCCTTACAAGCCTTAGGCCTTACTTTGTTCCACGTTACAAAGTCATCACAGGGAGGCTGGAACCAAACTCTTCCAACACAGTGGCAAACCTTGCTCTTGAATCGTTCAGAAGCCCTTATGATCCTGGAACATGGAGACCAATATATCTAAGCAGAGCTAATAGACGTCTACATTCTAAAGTTCTTCATCTGGTACATTTGGATATGAATCTGACTGCTTCCAGCTTTGTCAGCTATGACAGTAGAATCATTCATGACTTTAAAAGCCCCCAGAACAGTCTGGAAGCCCAGTTCCAGGGAAATATCGTGTATCGTCTTTAACAATAGCAACCAAGACAGGGGTTGATGACCACACTCAGGTGCAAGAAGCTACTGTTCTTGCTGATCCTGAATGGATCGTCCCGGAGAAGCCATGGGTAGCTTGTGTTCTTTGATTTATCATGATCCAGGGCTCAGAAAATAGAGTCTATACTCATTATTAGAATATAGATCACATGGATTTAGCTTCGACACACCATGTTTACTTGGATAATGAGCCAGCATATAAAACAACAGGACCATAAGCCAGTTTCTTGAGGATAAATTACAACTGGAAATAAATCCATTAGGGGAATTATAAAGATAAAATTTCATCTCAGAAGATAACCTTGTTGCAATTGAAACCTAAGTCATGTTACCAGGTCTAAATCTTTCCATTGGTAAGGAGTCTTCAAACATGGCCTCTAATCTAAAAGCTTTCATTTAAAAAATCTATATGGGTCCACATGTCAGACAGATCTGGATTCAAAGCAGATTTTTCTAATTTCCCAGTTTGGGGAAGTTAGCGAACATCACAGGATCTCGATTTCTCATCTGAAAATGAGGAGTTTGTGGTTTTCAATATTATTCTATTTATCATGCTTAGCACATGGAAGTTGGGCTGTGATTTCAGGTATGAAAATGTTATATAATTCTGATGCCTTGATATGTGGTGTCCTCAGACCACTAGAACTATCATCTCCATTTCCATTTTTTTTTAAATCTCTAAAATAAGAGTTTCTATAGTTTGTAGGCAGTTGACTAATCCTCCTAAAAGTTGGCCAGCTCAGAGAAAATGTGATGTTCACGAATAAGGTTTTGGAGATCCTCTCTTTATCTTTCTTTTTATTTTATTTTTTCTCTTTTTCTTTCAAGGGATATTGCAACCTGTGGGCTAATCCCCAAATGCCCTCGCAGAGCTGTAAAGACCAGAAGGGATGGGTAATGCAGATGTGTCACCACTGCTGAGCCCGGATGAAAAGAACAGCTTCACATATGGCAAACTGTAAGTCTACACACAGATGAGTAAATCGTAAGGACCCTCCAGCTTCCACACATTTCACAATAATCTTTTAAAATAACCGCTGCTACTTGAGTAGAACCCTCAGAAAACTACAAAGTTGTCAATTTATTCTCAAGCTTTTGAAATTCCATCACCCATTTCCCTAAGGTAACAGACTGTAATGTCTTAAGTCTCCAAACACGGGAAGTCACATTTGCATTACATATTACATTAATATTTTCCTCACGTTCTTAGTTAATTTTTTAGAAAGAAAATGTAGACTTTTAGTTCATATTAATGGAATTTGTGATTAATTATTCTCTACCTCATTAGGATGAATATATATATTCATTTGGGGGAATGTTAAAAGATTCAAATGCTTGTTTCGAATCTATAGTTCAGATCGTGTTACTGGACAGTATGAAGGGCTGTCAGGCAAATCTTCGGTTAGAGATGAGATAACCAAATAATGCACACTTTCTTGTTTCAAAAGAATCATTTCCTCACAAACAGAGTTTATAATAAAATATGCTACATAGGGGGGCACCTGGGTGGCTCAGTCGGTTAAGCATCTGACTCTTGATTTTGGCTCAGGTCATGATCTCAGGGTTGTAAGATCAAGTCCCACATCAGACTCTGTGCTCAGCTCAGAGTCTGCTTGAGATTTTCTCTCTCTCCTTCTCCCTCTGCCCCTCCGCCTGCTTATGTTCTCTCTCTCAAAGAAATAAATAAAATCTTAAAATATACTGGATAGTAATCTGAAATACAATTCTACATTAACTCTTAATATGCACATTGGTACTAAATACGGGTGCTGATATCCCCCCTTTTCAATCCATCCAAATATTATCTCATGAGTGCATAAGTAGTTTGCACTTAAATTTTATTGAGGTTATATTGGATATTGACATTGGAGAGGAAAGGACTAATGATAAGAAACTGAGGAGCCTATAAAACTAGCCAAATCAGAGGTATATCTCACAGGAAAACAAAACATAACAAAATACTCGTGTATTTGAATCATGAGAGCTGAACGGATCATTCATGAGAATTTATCCCTGATGTTACTTAGTGACAAGGCTCTTATCTCTCCACCACTTCATTAGCCGGAATATATGAAAAGCAAAGAAGAATGCCCTGTTCTCATGTTTTAGCACACTTTATCCAAGAAGACTCTGGAATACACCACTCAAAATGAATCATCCTTTAATGGCTAAATTAATCATAGGAAACGTAACAGAACAAACAGAATTTTTTTTTATTCCAAATACATTGCCCAAATGCTTGCAACATAGATTTTCACTTGTTGTTTATAGAATGGTTGTATGGCAGTCAATGAAGGAAGTGCCAAAGAATCACAAATACACAAATATGGGTCAGCCAAAAGACTACAGAAGAGCTATCCAAGAAATCATATGTGGCAAGTAAGCATCCAGGTTAAGGGATAAGAATATGATAATAGCAGTGCTTTATACACATATCCTCATTTATCCCCCCTGATTACCCCATGAACTCATATTCTCATCCAATCTCAGAGATGAGAACACTGAGCTATCACAGGGTTATGGATTTCCCCAACCTCACAAAGGATGTAAAACTGCAGTGACTATGCTATACTGAATCACAATAGCAAAAAAAGCAAGAGCATATAACAAAGACCCAAATTCAGAGATCAAGTCAACCTTTTAATGATGTTTGAAATGACTAATAAAAATGCCAAGGGGCTCCTGGGTGGTGCCTTTGGTTAAGCGTCTGACTCTTGGTTTCAGTCATGATCTCAGAGTCATGAGATCAAGCCTCAGTCTCTGTGCTCAATGCAGAGTCTGCTTAAGACTCTCTCTCCCTCTCCCTCTGCTC